GTACTGCCGAGGCTGCCAGGGGGCACCTGACCCAGATGGCAACGGCTATGGTTACTGGGTTTTGAACAAGTGCCTCAAGAACATCGACTGTAACGCTAAACGAATGGAAGCCAAGGCAGTCCCGATCCTGTTCGAGAGGTCTCTGCAGAAGAGTGGACTGCCTGAACAATGTGCACATACGAATAGGGGGCGGCTCTTCGCACCTTGATAGAGAAGAAGGCATAAGGGGAGCCTTTTGGAACAAAAGGGAAACTGACCCAGGACAAAATTTAAAAAAAAATCATGTACTACTATGGATCCGCATTGAAGACCTACAGGCACGACGTCCCAAGGATGAAAAAGGCGGTGCAGGCAACTTTGTTGCACACGACGTCGACAGACGAAGCCCCGGACCGCAGTCTTTGTCTTGAAGGTGACGGTTCTTGGTGCTTCTACACAGTGGCGTCACAAGGGTGGGGGGGGGGGGGGGGCGGACCCCCCAGAGTGCAGCGCTCAGGGGGGTGTCGCGGCGGGTCACGAGAGCCAAGGGAGGGGGGGGGGGGGGGTGTTGCGGCGGGCTACCGCCCCGGGTGCCGCTGACCCTAGTGACACCACTTCTCCTACAACCGCGCCCTTGCCAACCACGAGCCACCAACACACAAAAACCCTCTACCAGGCTTCATTCGCACAGCACTGGAGCCGGTATTTCTGAGGCTGGGCGAAGAGGCCCTCCTGTGAAGCGCTGCTTTGATGGCGTGACACAGAACGCAGTTGAAAGCCTACACTCGGTGATCTGGGCCAAAACTCAAAGAGCGTGCATGAATCTCTGCTGGCCGTGGAAGGGGCTGTCGCTGAAGCAGTTTGTCATGCACTTCAACCAGGACATGGCGAAGACCAGCAAGGCAGTAGTGCAGAGCAGCTCGGCTACACTGGGTGCTGTCTGACACGCAGGAGCCTCGTGAAGGACAAACAGAGACTCCGCAAGGCCGACAAGGCTTACACAGAGAGTGAGAAGGTGAAGACGATGGCCCAAGAGGCACAAGCCCGACATGACCAAGGACTACTGCCTGGGTCATGTCGGCCCCGGGCTCGCAGCCGAAAAACACTAACGTGATTTTCTGTAATCTTTTTAATGGCAATTGTTCGACTGCGTTTTTGAAAACATTGGCATAAACGATTTCTAGAAAACTTTGTATTTTTGCGCTGAGAATAACCGCACTGCATCAGAAGGGTTTCCTTTTCTATAAATTTAGTAGTAAATGTTCTAACATAAAAGAAACTTCAAGTGCGATTTTCTCAGCATTGTTTTTTTTATAAGGTGCCATTTCCTTACAGACGCTTTCATAATGTTTGTATAAATGAATACCAGTGAACTTGGCATTGTTCTTCTTAGCAGCAGCTAAACTACATACTAAATTTTTCGTTTTCGTTTTCATTGAGCCTGTTGACTAAAAGTAATTAGCTCAAATGTTGACTAATTAGCGGCAGATTTTGTTTGCTTTCACGTTTGTAACTTATGTACGTCAAAATAACTGGCGTCATAAAGTTTCTATTAGCTTTAGAATGTATGGTGGACCCTTGCAGCTCACTGCACATTGTTAAAAAGAAGGTATTTTTAATGAAAAATTATTATAATGACTTGTTAAATGATCTAAATGGAATTTGATATTTTGCCATAACTTTTGTTCTGAGGGAGATATGTGAAATATAATTCCAGATATGAAATCTCCATTAAAAAGCATATCAGTATGCCAATTAAAAAAAAGTATAGCTATATAAAAGATAAATTTAAGGACCCGCGTCGCCCCTTAGCTATTTTAAGTATCATATAGTTTTGATTAAAAATTATATCTGCTACATTATTTCTGAAACGTAGCCTTTCATACCCAGAATAGTAGGATACATTGTTGGGCTAGTTGGTTCATCTTAGTTAAACATATAAAATAGCGCAAAAAAGACAAGGACCAGAAGTATACAGAACAAGCTCTAGTCCTGTATACGTTTGTCCTGTATACGGGTAGCGCTTGCCCTGTATACTTCTTGTCCTTGTCTTTGTTGCACTATTTTATATGTTTAACTAACATACCCAGAATGTTTTGACACAGACGTAATTTTATTAATTGTTTTTAAATTGTTTTCTGTCATATGCGGTATGCTGGGTTTCAGCATCTTATTGTGTGGCCGACTGAAGCCCCACAATACCCGCCCCGGGGTCTGCAGTTCCGCAACACTTCGCACGAACGTATTATTGCACTCGTAACATATCTGATCTACATCATTATATCCGAATACTTTTTTTTTATTATGTAATCAATGTTTTCCTTGTATTTACCCCGACTGTGCGCATGCACAACATCCCAAGTCTTCTTAAAGGGGCCCTGCAAGGACTTTTTACTGTTTTTTTTTTTAATTTGCACCGAACGTGAGCGCACTGAACGTAGTAACTTAGTGAAACTTTTCTTTTCGCGAAATTCGCTTTATTTTAAAAGTTATAGGCAATTTAGAATTACAAAAACAAGCAAAAAATAACCTCCTTCATGACGTCGTAGGTCCTGGCTTGAGTGGCCGTGAACTAGAGGAGGAATAGTGAGCTCATCGAGCGCTCACGGCCGCCGCACTCCGTGTCGACGGCGCCAGAGGGCGCCACTAAAGCATGTCCTGGATAGGCGGTATGCAGCGGGCAGCCAAAGCGGCTTTCATTGCGTTTGCTGCGCGATTAAACACTAATTCGGCATGACACTTCATTGGCCACAAACGACAGCAAACACGGGGTAAAGATCAGTTCAGAATGGGAGCCCACTTCGCGCTGCGAAACGGCCAAACCGCAAGACAAAGCCTCTCGCGGAAGGCCTTTGGAACGCTCGGAGCCGGTCGGATCTTCCTGTCCATACGACTGCAGCGCCACCGCGTACATCCGGGATTTTTCCGTGTCGGCGCCTTATCCCACTACTCTTTTCTAGTATGCGCCGCCTTTTCCACCGCTTGGCGGCGGGTATGTTGACGGGTCATTTCTTGTTTCCGTACTTTATAAACTGCTTATCTTTCTTTTTTTCATCTATAATAGCTAGTGAACAAAAACTACTTTTATAAATAATTGAAACGGTTCGCTTCACTTATATTTTGTATTTCGACCAAAAAGAAGTTTTTAGTGGCTCTGACCAGCCCAGGACCAAAGACGTCACAGTTTGCGCGCTTTCGGTACCGTGGGTCGCCCTCGTCGGTGGAGGAGGTTTCCGTGTCGTCCTGTCAAAATATGGCGCACTGATATTTAGCTACTCTTTCCGTGCCCGCTGGCTTGCCCGAACCCCAAGACACGTGGAAACCGCATAAAAGGTAGACGCTTAAATTATGATTGCAGGGCCCCTTTAAGGCTTTTATGATGACGCTGGAAACGTGCAACATAATACCTGTACCTTTCCTGTCTTGTTGGGGCTGTTGCTCTGAACGTGCGAAACACATGTACGACGAAACCGTCCGATCTGACGTGCGAACTGCCGGAATGATCTTCGGGGTCGAGGGTTTTCGTAGCAACCCTCGCCTCCGACCGTCGTATTGCCTGATCGGACGTCGGATCGGACGGTTTCGTCGTACATGTGTTTCGCACATTACGGAGGCTTCTAAATTCGTTTTTCAGAACTCCATCCCCTGGATCAGCTTTACATCTTTGCCAGAGTTTACCCTTTGTGTGGCAGAGCTCCATAATTTCTATGGACATCAATTCGTTCGAACGTTTCCTTCGTTTCAACTGAATTTTTCTCTCGCAAGCGTTACATATACTTAAAAAATCTGAGTCATCCTTTGGTATGCCGTGACATTATCAAACGAGACTAGAATGTTCGTCATATTCATCAATTAATTTATCTACTCTTTTATTGTCCAAGACCAATTTGTATTGACTTTCTGGTTCTTCAATTGGAGCCCACAAACACAAAAAGGGATATAAAATAATGATATGCCACTTTTTGCTTTATAAACCCTGACACCGTTTTTAGCTCGGTCAATCTCATAGCAATGTGATCGATGTAATTTGTAACTTGTAATTCGGTAAACTAACTAACGCTTTTAGGACCTTTCGACGGCCCGCAAAAATCAGTTTTTCAACTTATCATGCTGCAATTTACTACAGAGGTGCAAGGAGGTAGTGAGTTTACAGTAAAAAAATCAAGAAATCAACTTATTTGATATAAAAATGAAATAGCGCAAAGGTTAGACAAAGGATAAAGGATATATCCAACTACCCCACTTCAATATCTTAGTACAAAATCTACTTCGTTCAAAATACAAAAACAAAACAGAAGCCGGTTTCGGGCAATCTACGCCGCCACTTCGCAGGCAATGCACGCGCAGTAAGAACTGCTGCCGACAGATGGGAGTTCACAGCGTCGAGAAAGCGCTGGGTCACGTGGTTTATAAGCCGCGTTTGCAGAACGATGTGCGCGGAGGTAACAAACGCCTTCGTCGTCTGCGACCGTCTCAGACACTGTAGTCTCAGCAACATCTCCTAGAAGTCGAGGCCGGCCATAGTGCTCTTCTCGTGATGTCGCGAAGGAAGGCCATTAAAGGGCTACTCCACCGATTTTTTCATTGTCTCCGATTTGCTTGAAATTTTGCTAAACTAACCAACAAACGTCGCGAAAGTAGTATCCCAAATATTAGGTCAAAATATTGTTTTTTCGCGAAGTTATTTAATTTACAGTTTTGGTCCTCACCGTGTTTTTCAAGCTCGAAGTCTCTACTGGCAACAATGAAAAAGTGACGTCAGTGGAAGGCAGGAGTTCACTCTTTGGGCTGTAGATTTTGTTTTAAACTGATTCGAAGCAGTTTCATGGTGTCAAATGAATGCTTGGGAAGCTCGCTGCAGTACCCGCGCTCCAGCACGGAACAAATGATTGGCATATTCTATTTTTTGGCTGCTTGCTCGACTGGCAAGCCTGCCTGCCACTGACGTCACGGCCCTGAAAAGCGCGCGTATATTTGAATGTTGGTTTTTGCATCATTTTCATTTGCCGATTTGGGGGGCGCTGTCTGCTGTTACCTACGGAAGACGTGCTTCGCATCGGCCCCGTGTTGCTGATCGATTTATTGCGTCCAAATCATCGACACCTCGGAATTTTCGGTGCCAATCGAACGAGCAAGTCTTCCCGGTCACGGGGAGGTATCGGCAGTGAGTGAGTGTCGATTTTTGGCGATTTTGTGGGAGTTTGCGTGTTCGCCGGCCGGGTGGGGCCGCTAGGCCTAACTCGAGCACGTCGGATCCTTTCGGCGGTTCTACGGTGGATGTGGCCAAGAATGGCGGTCCGATGGTCGTCTCGATGGTCGGGGAGGATGTCGACCCTGATTTTTGTGCAGGCTGGATGCGCGCTCGGGCACGCGGGGGTACTCAGGTGGAGAAGGAGCCCAGGCCTAGTTCCTACGTGGCCCGGAAGGTCATCGAGAAGGTCGAGCGCATGGGGAGGATGCCGAGAGTGGGACTGGAGGGCGAGAACAAGGTGGTGGTGAGGCCGCGAGGTGGCCTGGATTTGAGGAAGACGTCGATCGTCGTCGTGGCGGACGCAATCCGGGCGGCGGCTGGGATCTCGGAGGAGGAGGCCTCGTTGGATACGCAGTGCCCGAACGTGCAGCAAAATGTGGTGGTCATCAGTACGGGGAGCGACGCCAGGGCGGTCAAGTATGCTGCGGTGACGTGTATCTGCGTGGCGGGGAGGTCCTACGAAGTGCGGGCTTACGTCACGGCTCCCTTTGACACCGTCAAGGGGGTGATCCGTGGCGTCCCGGTGCACCATACGGCGGAGGAGATTGAGCGACTTCTCATCGGGCCCAGGAACCCGACGGTGCGAGCGGCGGAGCGTATCGGCTCTTCGGCAACGGTCGTGGTGATCTTTGGGGGTGACGTAGTGCCGCATCAGGTGTTCTACGGCGGGAGTGTGTTGCGGTGCTCCCTGTACAGGAAGCACTATGAGGTGTGCAAGACGTGTGGCCGTGTCGGTCATCGAACTGATGTGTGCCCAACCCCCGGCGTCAGACGGTGCTTGGGATGTGGCGGAACTCCGGACCCGGGACATGCGTGTAGTCCCAGATGTGGCTTGTGTGGGGGTCCACATGTTACCGGGGATAAGGTGTGTAATAATCGGTTTCGTACGCCGTACATCGTTCATAGGCGGCTGTGGGAGAGAGCGGAGCGGGGTCTGTCCGGGGATCGGCCGTCTCCTCCCCCGCGGGGTTCTGCGGAAGAATACTCTAGGCTGGGGAGGTCTCGCTCGAGGTCGCGCGAGTCTGAGAGGCCGGCGGCACGTAGTCGCAGCAGGAGCACAAGTGATCAGGTCACGTGGGCCCAGGCGGTGCAGTCTGATCGGGGGAAGGTTGCTAAGATCCGCAAGGATCGCAGTGTCTCGGCGCAGTTTTCGGCACCCTCTCCGAAGATAAAAGCGCACCCGCCACAACAGTCTTCGCAGTCGGCGGCAAACGTTCCGTACAGTGTGTAAAACTGCGTTTTTTCTACCTACAGTTTCCGATGCGCTGTGATCTACCGTGGAAGCACACCTCTGCGCCTCGACCAGACCGATTCCTCGTCAACTGCGTACCGAACAAGATGCGAGGCTGTCTTCACTGACAAGTCATCCTGCCCACAGCTACGCTATCAGCCCGCCGCAAGGATCGCAGTGTCTCGGCGCAGTTTTCGGCACCCTCTCCGAAGATAAAAGCGCACCCGCCACAACAGTCTTCGCAGTCGGCGGCAAACGTTCCGTACAGTGTGTAAAACTGCGTTTTTTCTACCTACAGGTGAGCGTTATTCCTGCTATGTCTTAGATTTTGCATGCTTTTGCCGCCGACTGCAACACTTAGCGTTATTGAATAGCCTTTTATGCCTATTATGAAACTGATACAGTAATATGGCTGGCGCCCAGCACGAGACCTGTTTGGCGTGTGATCAGGCATTGCCGGGTGATGGGGTTTTCGTGACATGTGTTGAGTGCAAATTTTCTTACCACCTTGGAGATTGCTCGGGTGTTCAACGACCAACTAGTAAATCGAAGGGTGACTGTCTTCGTAAAAATTGGCGGTGCCCGTCATGTGTAACTGCAAAAAAGAGAAGTGCCAGCAAGGAAACTACCCTTGATATACCAAGCATGCTTGTCAGCATAAACGCCAAGCTAGAGAGCCTTCTAGGTCTTAAGGAAACGGTTGACAGCATCGACCAATCGATTCAAGTTATGTCTAAAGACTATCAAGAGCTACTGGGAGAAGTGCGAAACCAAGGTCAGGAAATTAATGATCTAAAAAAGCGCGTGGAATGCCTTGAGAATGCTGATAACACAACGGAAATGCAGGCACTGAAGTCGGGCCTACATGACCTTGAATGGCGCAGCAGGCGTTTAAATCTGGAAATTCACAATGTTACACCAGCTGAAAATGAAAACCTGATGACGAAAGTAAACGAGGTAGCACAGAAACTCGAGTTACCAGCGCTCGAGGCAAGTGACGTAGTAGCTCTTCACAGAATGCCATCGAAGTCCGACAAAGTTCCCGGAATTATCATACGTTTTGCACAACAAGAAAAACGCGACGAGTGGCTTCGGAATAAAAAAAAAACTTGCACGCGGTCAGCGAAGTATTTATATTTTAGAAAACTTAACCAAACAAAACAAGGCACTTCTCTGGATCACAAAAGAATGGGCAAAGCAAAGGTCCTATCAGTTCGTATGGCACCAAAATGGAAAAATTCTTGTCAGGCGTGGGGTGGGCGAGCGCGCAGCTGTTGTCAGATGTGAGGATGACCTGCGAAAGCTGTAGTAATATTTTTTTTTCCCTTCTTTGAAAGTTCACTTGGTCGTTTATCGTTTTAATGCTTGGTCATGATTGTTTACTTCCATGTGACCTTGAGGCATATCTTGGTACTGAACGCCATGCTTTCACGAAATATTTTCATGTGAATGCCCAATCTGCTAAAAATAAGAATATAGATTTCGAAGTGTTTTTTAATCAGGTTCCTTTTTTGTTTGACGTAGTAATGTTATCAGAAACGTGGTATCGTAATGATAGTGATGTTTTGAAACTTCCTGGATACGTCAGCTTTTCGTTAAATCGCACATCTCGCCGAGGTGGCGGAGTATGTCTACTAATTAAAGACACAATTAACTGTGAACTATTGTCAGATTATTCATGTATTACACGGGACTTCGAAGTATTAACAGTGCGCGCGAAATGTGTAATAATAAGCGTGTTTTATCGGCCTCCAGATGGCAATAGTGAGAACTTTTTGGAATTTTTCAACACATACCTTCGTTTTGTCAATGATAATGGTTATACCGTAATTTGCGGTGGGGATTTTAATATTGACATGCTGAAAGATACTGCATTGAAGAGAGAAATGAATATGATCACAGAAACCAATGGGTGTATGAACACAATAAATATTCCAACTAGAGTTACTGTAAGCTCTGAAACATTAATTGATCTTTTTATTAGTAACGCCGATAGTGAAAATATAAAATCCGGAGTTATAAGCTACCATTTAAGTGATCACCTTCCAATATTCATGTGTTTGAAAACTAGGAACCCTAAACAAAATAGAAATAATGTATCATACCCGTTTCAACATATAACCACCGGAAGGTTGAATGCCTTCAGACAAGAAATTGCAGATACTAATTGGTGTGATATGTTTGGTTCAGAAGATGTAGACGAAGTCTATGGACATTTCCTAAAACTATTTAAAAGCATTTATAGTCGTCATTTTCCGTACAAAATGTTTAAGGCAAGTAAAAAAATCAGGAAACCGTGGATAACACCTGATTTACTTGAAAAAATTAAAACAAAGAACGCGATGTACCAATCATTCGTTAAATCTAGAGACCCGCAAAGTCTACGGTCCTTTAAAATATATCGCAACCAACTAACAAAATTATTGCGTACAGCTAAAGCTGAGTATCACGATAAGGTGTTTAGGGGTACAAATGGTCGTACGGACTTGGTTTGGAAAAAATTAAATTCAGTGTTAAACCTTGGTTCAGGCCATCAGCCAGTTGATAATATTAACCGGAACGGTGTGGACCTAAGTGGCCTTTCCTTAGCGAATGCTTTCAGCGAATATTTTGCGAATTTATCTACAACAAACGTTAGTACTGATCCTTGCAGATACATAGAAGTCAGAAATAGCCATTCCATGTTTCTTGAACCTGTCACAGATGCTGAGGTATTTTTTACATTTATGCAATTAAAAAACAGCTCTAGCTGCGACTGCGATGATCTTCAAATACGCCCACTAAAGTTCGTTATTGATATATTAGTGCCGTACGTAACCCATATTTTTAATCTTTGTTTTTCGTCTGGAGTATTTCCTACGGCGATGCAACTGGCGAAGGTATCTGTCCTTCACAAGAAAGGAGATAAAAATAATTTCAGCAATTATCGACCGATTTCAATTCTTCCCTTATTTTCTAAAGGCCTAGAAAAAGTAATACAGTCCCGTCTCGTACAATTTGTGAATAAGCACGATTTACTCTCATCTTCGCAGTTTGGTTTCAGAAAAAATCGTTCCACGGAATCAGCCCTCTTATCCCAAAAAGAATATATATTACAAAATTTTGAAGAAAAAAGAACGGTTGTTGGCGTGTTCGTAGATTTTACAAAAGCCTTTGACTTCGTGGATCATAACATTCTGCTTTGCAAACTAAATTACTATGGTATTCGAGGGTTGCCGTTAGCACTTCTCAAATCATACTTGAGTCACCGCCTTCAATATATTAACATTAGTGGTCATTCCTCTGATAGAAAGCGTATTATTTCAGGGGTCCCACAGGGAAGTATTTTAGGGCCCCTTCTTTTTAACCTGTATATAAACGATATTGTGAATATAGACCCTGTTGCTAAATTTGTAATTTATGCAGACGACACTAGTATATTTATTTCCTCTTTAAATAGTGATGAAATTGCGGATGATGTTAATTTTACTTTGTCAAGGTTGGCGGCGTGGGCAAAGGAAAATGGATTAAGTATTAACACTGCAAAGACAAAGGCTATTTTCTTTCGTCCAAAAAATAAACAAATTTTTATGCCAAGGCCTATAGTATTTAGCTCAAGCCCAATAGAGATCGTGGAAAGTTTTAAAACACTAGGTGTCTTCTTTTCTGAAAATATGTCATGGGATAGCCATGTAAATTATTTGATTTCCAAATTGTCACGTGTTGTTGGTTTAACGTATCGCCACAGCCAATTTCTACCAGTTCGCGTGAAATTAATTATGTACAATGCTTTGTTTTACTCACTCCTCAGTTATTGTAACCTTGTCTGGGGCACAACAACGGCATCCAACCTGAACAAAATTTATCTGCTTCAAAAAAAAATGTTAAGAGCCATCTTCAACGCGCCTTATGACTCTCACACTGAGAATATGTTTAGAAATCTGCAAATATTAAAAATTCATAAGCTATCTGATTATAGACTTTTACTCACCATTAAGAATGAAATTAAAAAGGAAAGTGTTCTTTTAAACCAGATAGTTAGATTAGAAAAAAATAATACGGTTTACTTGACCCGCCATAATGAATATTGGAAGGTTCCCACATGCAGGTCAAATTATGGGCAGCAAATGCTTCGGTGTTTAATTCCAAAACTTCTAAACAACTTTGAAAAGGAAAATGGAAATATAGAAACCATATCTACTAAAGAGTTGCGTAATATATTTTTACATATTTAAGTGTTTTGTGTCTTGTTTCTGTTATCTCATTTGATAATGTATAATTTTCTGTATAATTTTTTTTTTTTTTTTTTTGCACGAAAACTGTTTGTTTACTGGCTGCCGATGGGGCTGAGGGCCAGTCAAGCTTCTTGTTGAAGCTTTTTCCCTTTCGCTCCACCATTTCTTTAAATGGAAATAAAGATTATTATTATTATTATAAGTTGCGTGAGGAGAATCGTAGGCAAGCTGCTGAGGTCGTGGAGCTGAGAAGGGAGAACAAGAAGTTAGTGAAGACCGTGGAGGAGCTGAAGGCACTGGTCGAGGGCTTGGTTCGTCGGCTGGAGAGTTCGGCTCCTCCCTCGGGACCGGAGGACTCCGCCCCTCCCGCCAAGCGCAGGAGTGTGGAGGCTCGCAGACGTAGGGGGGAGGGTGTTGAGGACAGGTTTGAGGAGATTGAGGGCCGTGTCGGTGTGGTGGAAGACGGGGTGAAACAGCTTAACGAGAAAATGGATTCGATCATGAAGGTGCTAACGGCGATGCAGGGTACTTTACAGCGAAATTCAGAGGGACAATGGCATCAACCTTAAATATCTGGGTCTGGAACTGTAACGGTTTTAGGAGTAAGAGGGCCAGGTTACAGCAGTACATTAGGGGTAGGGGGGTTAAGCCGGATGTGATAATGGTTCAGGAGGTGGTACGGGAGGATGTGAGTCTCCCCGGCTACGTCACGTACCGGTCTAGTGGGGGTCCTGCGGGCCGCCGCAGGGGGGTCTGCACGTTCGTGCGGCGGAGTCTTCCGGTCCTAGTGCACGAGCTTAAGGGGGACGAGAACGTCGAGAGGGTGTTGACCGAGGTGTTAGTGGGTAGATTGGGGGTCTGTCTGTGCAACGTGTACAGTAATCCGCGTTTCGGCAGACAGAGGTTCAGGAATCTGCTGCATGGATGTGCGCGTTGGGCCGATGGCAGGGGCTTAGTCGTTTCCGGGGACTTTAACGCTAGGCACGAGTTCTTGGGCCACGCGGCTACCACGGTCAAGGGGAGGAATTTGTTCCAAGACGCGGAGGAGGTGGGGCTGATCCTCGTCACGGATCCGGGGGTGCCGACGCGGCCCGCGCGGAACGCGATTGAGAGGGATACCACCCCGGACCTAGCCTTCGTGGACGCTCCCGGGGCGGAGTGGCGGAACGCGCTGGAGGATCTGGGTAGCGATCACCGTTTAGTGGAGCTCTCGGTTCCCCTGGCGGTTCGGAGGAAGGAGTTTAGACCCCAGGGGTTGGTGAACTGGGATGCCTTCAGGCGGCTGGGTCCAGAGGGGGAGATAAGCGATTTGGGGGAATGGTCCGCGAGTTTGGTGGACGCTGCCAGGTCGGCTGAGCGGCCCGTGGTGGTGGAGTCGGAGGATGTGGGGCTGGTGGATAGCAGGTTAGGTGCGCTTGTCGAAGCCCGGGACTCTCTGCGGAGCCGTTAGCGGGAGCGGAAGAACAACCGTGCGCTGCGGAAGCGGGTGGCGCAGTTGAATGAAGATATTCGGAGGCACTGTGAGGCCCTGTCTAGGCAGCAGTGGGACGATGTGTGCAATAGGGCGGAGGGCAAGATGCATAGTGGAGACACGTGGAAGCTGCTGCGGCACCTGCTGGACGAGTCCAGGACGAGGAGCTTCCAGTGTAGGAGAATGGGGGAGGTTGTCGGTCGGGCTGTCAGGGAGCTTGGTGAGGAAGGGGTTAGAAGGCAGTTGTTGGATACGTTCCTTCCGAGTTGCGGCAGGGAGGTCCACCCGGAGTACACGGGGGTTGACAATGCCGAGTTGGATAAGGATTTCGAGCTGTGGGAGGTTAGGGCTGCCTTGCTGCGGATTAATCGGAGGTCGGCGCCCGGGCTGGACCGGGTGGATAATAAGATGCTTGGTAACTTGTCTGAGGAGTGTTTGGAGGCCCTGCTTGATTTCTTCAACAGGTGCTGGAGGGAAGGGAAGCTGCCTGCGGAATGGAAGAAAGCCAAGATGGTTCTTATTCCGAAGCGTGGGAAGCCACCGGGGCTCCAAAACCTTAGGCCGATCTCGCTCACTTCCTGTGTGGGGAAGGTCCTGGAGCACATGTTACTGCGGAGGTGGCAATCCTTTTTGGAGGACAAGGGGGTCTTCCCGAGCTCGATGTTCGGGTTCAGGGAGGGCCTGGGGGCGCAGGACGCGATGTTGGTGTTGTACCACGAGGTGATTGAGCCGAGGCGGCCGGGCGCGGTTCTGGGTCTGGACTTGCGCAGCGCGTTTGATAGAGTACGGCATTCTGCCATCCTTCGCGGCGTGGCGGATGCGGGGCTCGGCAGACGGAGCTATAACTACGTTAAGGACTTCCTGTCGGGCCGGACGGCTCGGCTGCTGGCGGGGGACTTGGATGTTGGTGAGGGGGAGCTGGGTAGTGTCGGCACCCCACAGGGCTCCGTCATCTCTCCGGTCTTGTTCAATTTAGTGATGGTGGGGGCCGCCCGCGGTCTCTGTGAGGAGGGGATTCCGCACTCTATATATGCGGATGATCTTACGCTGTGGTGCACCAATCGGAGGAAGGAGGTGGTGCAGGGTACGCTGCAGCGAGGAATCGAGATTATTGAGGAGGCGCTGATGGGTTCGGGGTTGGAGTGTGCTCCCGAAAAGTCGGAGTTGCTCGTGTGTTATGCTGGGCGTTGTAGATGGGATGAGATGCGGCTGATCGCCGGCGGGGGACCCGTCCCGAGGGTGGACGCTTTGCGGGTTCTGGGGCTATTTGTTCAGGAGAAGGCGGGTAATTCGGTCATGCTCGGGAAAATTCAGGGTAAGGTAGCGTCTGCTCTGCGCATGATCCAGAGGGTGACCAGCAGGAGGAAGGGTATCCGCGAGGCCGGTGTGATGAGGATGGTTCAGGCTTTTGTATTGAGTCACATCATGTACGTGACGCCCTACCTTCGCTGGAGGGCAGGGGAGAAGAACAAGCTGGATGCCATGGTGCGCAGGGCTTACAAATCTGCGTTGGGGCTGTATGCCTTCACTAGCACAAAGAAGCTGGAGATGTTGGGTGTGCACAATACGATAGGGGAGATTGTCGAGGCGCACAGGGCTTCGCAGATTCAAAGGCTGGAGCGCACTCCGGCTGGCAGAGGCGTGTTGAGGCGTGTCGGTATGCTGGCGGAGGATGCGTCTGACGGCGGGGGACTGACGGGAGAGGTGATGAAAAATGTCAGGGTTAGGCCTGTGCCGAGGCACATGCATCCTGTGCGTGATAAGGGACGAAGGGAGGCCAGAGCGCAGGCCCTCTTCAGGTTGTACGGGCGAGAAGATAGTACTGTATACGTTGACGCTGCCCTTCGAGGGGTAGTGGGGGTGGCTGTGGCTGTGAAGGCGGGAAGTGGGGAGGTGCTCTCCGCTGTGAGTGTTAGAACTAGTAATATTTGTGAGGTGGAGGAGACGGCCATTAGTTTGGCGGCCTCCCTGCCAGGGACCAAAGTGGTCATGAGTGACTCTATGAGTGCGATAAGGAACTTTGCGCGTGGACGCGTTGGGGTGGTGGCCAAGAGGCTGCTGCGTCCGACGGGCGCGGTGGACATTGTGTGGTGCCCCGCTCACGAAGCGGGCAACGTGGATGCTGACCGAAGGGCCCGAGAACTGCTTGGCCGGGCCTTCGGGGGCGCCGCGGAGTATTCGCCCAGCGGCTTTGGGGAAGTGCTAAGGACCAGGAGGGAGGAACGGCGGGTGTTCCCGCTGCCCCACGGGGATTTGGTTAGGGAGGATGCTGTGCTGTTGCGGCAGTTGCAGGTGGAGTGCGTGTTTACTCCTGTGGTGGGGCGCTATGTGGCGCCAGAGGTGTACTCAAGTGATAAGTGCGTGCTGTGTGGTGCGCGGGCAACTGCGGAGCACGTGTTGTGGGACTGTGAAACTCGGCCGGCGGAGGCGACCACGTCGAGTGGGCTTCCGCCGGACATCAAAGCCGGGGTGATGGCTAGTAGCCTGGACCTCCAGGTAGCGGTCGTCCAGCAGGCCCGGCGTCTACTGCGCAGGCAGGTCCGACCTCGGGCCCCCTGCGCTGGGGCGTCGGATGGTGTGGGCCGCACCGGCTAGGCTTGACCTAGCTCTGCAGGCAAATAATGACGTTTATTCCTCCTCCTCATTTGCCGATTTCGCAATAACTATTATGAATTTCGCGATTATAAATAGCATACCGGAGAGAGTAAAGGCCGGGGAGTCAGAAAATATAGTTAGTTGAGGTAGCTCAAAAAATCGGTGGAGTACCCCTTTAAGGGCGCGCGTCGAAGCGAAGGCAACGCGTGTATATCGAACGTCGTAACGGGCTTTTAGTCACATAAGCGTGTCTCAGGCACGTAGCCAGGAGTTTGTGTCGGGGCAGGGGGGGGGGGGGGGGCATGACAAAATGCTGTATGAGGGGGAGGGGAGGCCCCAGCAAAAAAAGAAAATTTCGGGCCCCATGGACCCCCCCCCCCCCTCCCCCCGGCTACGTGCCTGGCTTGTCTTATTAGCCAAAACGAAAGCTGCACATAGCAACGCTGTTAGAAAACATTTGATTACACTCACAAGACATTACACCTCTAAACAATCGGTACAAAATGGCACGAGGTGTACGTAAAAGACGTCTACAAAAAAAAATCGTTTGAAGCCGAAAATATTGAGCCGCACAATTATTGCTTTAGAAATGCCTATTTTATACAGAATTACTTCCACAAAATGGATAGACACGCAGTGTGACGGGACACAGCAAAACGGATCACAGTAAAAATCAAGTAGATGTAGTCAACGCGGACACGGCTTGACAAGTTTCACTTACAATCATGTAAGCAATGTTAACGCATGCAGTCACTGAATTCTTGCATTATACCCCTGCCACATGGTACGATTACTGTAATTTCGATCGAATGATATTATGGGGCCGACAAATCAGCTCGCGACGCCGCGAGCTGATTCAGTCCCATATCATTTAAAGAAAATATAATGACTTTTCCGTGTGGCAGGGGTGCTAAACTTGCAATTTACAGTCAACTTATTTACTTCACCCTATAAGCTCGGCCTGCCTTAGAACAAAGTATAACTTTTTTTTATGCAATAATACTATTACCTTAATACAGTTAGGATTTTAGTATAAACGCGGTGAAGGCAATAAAAACCGTTAGTACTATAAATAAACACATAAGCACAAACAACGCGCTCCCAATAATCACACATAAACTTGCTTGGTTTTCACCTTCCAGTAAAAACTTGAAAGTTACCAGGTATATTTACAAATGTCGACGCAATTGCGCACATATATCGACGAAGAACGAGATTCCATTCTATTACAAGATTAAAGTAGCCGACTGAAGTACTTGTGTCCTACATGACAAAGCCCGTAAATAAGTTGTTGCTCAACTCTCGGTCGTATCCATACGTCCCGCAATATCGTCACGAAAAACGTTGAACACGAACTCCAAGAAGTATCTCTCTTGCACGAGAGAGAGAGCTCTATCGATAATCTACCAGTGTCATCGTTGACTAGTTGCCACAGATGGCACTCACACCGTAGCAGGACGTGTTCTGCTAATCCACGTAAATGCCGTAGTATCAAGAGAACGGAAAAGAACCACACACGAGAGCAGCGCCAGCAGTGTGGGACGAAAGGCTTAATGTCGTCGACCCATCTCTTGCTCGTGTGAGCTCCCTGCGGCGATGACTTGATTGTTTTCGGTTCCCTTCTCTTGTGAAATGTCTCAGCGTTCCTTTTCAAACAGTCTGCAGCTCACACACAGCGTAAATTTGCCCGAAACGGGAGCCCATGTGACGGAAGAAAATGCTACGCCGGAGCCGGTTCTTTTGAAAAGTATGGGGAGTTGCGGGAGTCAGGAGAGCACGTAGTCCCGCGGTTACGGGGATGATCAACAATACAAATTTGGTACTTTCAACCTTGGTAATGCGTTGTATGTTACGTTTTGATTATATATATATATATATTATATTATATTAGACTACGCATTTACAACGTATATTAATGCCGGATAAATGCACACGAACAAACCGCGTAACCTGAGTTAGCAGATGACGCGGCCGGGGTAAGGGAGAACCAGAGAGGGCGCCTTTTTTCGACGTGGCCTCCCTTCTCCGGCCATGGTGACCTCACAACTCGGAGCGCTACGGCCTTAACTTCTAGGAGGTGTTGGTCTCAGCCTTTCCGCCTCGTTTCGTCCCTGCCACTTGCGACCAATCTCTGCCATTAAATTACAAAGGCTCCCCATGGTTTGAGATTGGCGCTGTTTGCTTCTATAGGCTCCCTAGAAAGTGCCAGCTGTGATAGCAGACGATGCCGCAAAAGATGCCGAATCGGCCTGCGCTTCTCGACGCGGCGTACGCCATCTGTCGGCAGCACTTCTCGCTACGCGTGCATCATGTGCGAATTGGCGGCGTAGGTTTCCCAGAACAGATATTTTTTTTAGAGCGCAGCTCTTAGGCGCCCGTTCCCGGCTTGAGCGGCGTCGGCGTAACCGCGCGGTGCATTATGGGTAAATTTCCCCGCTAAATCTAGCGGAAAACTTTCCCCCCTAAATCTAGCGGGAAAATTGTTTCCGCTAAATCTAGCGGAAAATTTCCCCGCTAAATCTAGCGGAAAATTTTCCCCACAATCTAGCGGACAATTTTTCCCGCTAAATCTAGCGGAAAAATTTCCCCGCTAAATCTAGCGGAAATATTTCCCCGCTAAATCTAGCGGAAAACTTTCCCTGCTAAATCTAGCGGAAATATTTCCCCGCTTAATCTAGCGGATCTAGCGGAAATATTTTCCCGCTAAATCTAGCGGAAAAATTTCCCCTCTAAATCTAGCGGAAAAATTTCCCCGCTAAATCTAGCGGAAAAATTTGCCTGCTAAATCTAGCGGAAAAATTTCCCCGCTAAATCTAGCGGAAAAAATTTCCCGCTCACTCTAGCGGAAAAATTTCTTTGGGGGGTCACGTGACTCCCGTGGACATGGGTACACCACCAACATCACTTGACCCCCACGTGACCTTGGGGAGGGGGTCATGTGACCCCACTAAAGTCACGTGACCTCAGGTCACGTGGCCCCCCCCCCCCCCCGAGAACACGTTAA